GGGACAGGGACAGGGGACAGGGACAGGGCACAGCACCCACCTGGGTCCCCCAGGAACTCGTCGAACAAGGCCACCATGTCGGGGTCGATGACGGCCTCGGTGCCCCCGCTTGTCGCCATGGTCGCCGGGCGGGGTCCCCGCCGTGTCCCCCTGCGGGGACAGGGACAGGGCAGGTGACACCCCCGCCACGAGGGCAGGGCAGGGACAGCGCTGTCCCCACGTTGTCCCCACGTTGTCCCCGCGCTGTCACCGAGCTGTCCCCACGTTGTCCCCGAGCTGTCACCGCTCACCTGAGGGCAGCTCTGGGCGCACACGACATGGCTGGGCCGGCAGAGGGTGACACGGGTGACAAGGGTGACACTCGCGTGCCAGCAGGATTGTCCCCGAGCAGGAGCCGGCTTGTCGCCGTCCCACGGTACCTGCGGATGTGTCACCTGTGCCACCTCCCGCGTGCTCTGGGCCGTGTCCCCGCGGGTGACAGTGGCTTTATAGGGCCGGGCGGGGCGGGGGACAGAGCCCGCCCTCAATTGGGTGACACCAGCGATGGCGAAATGCCACCAGGTGCCAGCGTCCCCGGAGATTCCTGCGGTGACAGTGGCGGGGATGTCCCCTGTGCCATCCCCTGTGCCAACCCCTGTCCCCTGTCCCATGTCCCCTGTCCCCTGTGCCATGTCCCCTGTCCCCTGTGCCATCCCCTGTGCCATTCCCTGTGCCAACCCCTGTCCCCTGTGCCATCCATCCCCTGTGCCACCCCCTGTGCCATCCCCTGTGTCTGTCCCCGCAGTGTCCCCTGTGCCATGTCCCCTGTGCCATGTTCCCTGTCCCCTGTGCCATCCCCTGTGCCAGTCCCCGCAGTGTCCCCTGTCCCCTGTGCCATCCCCTGTCCCGTGTCCCCTGTGCCTGTCCCCGCAGTGTCCCCTGTCACCTCGTGCCCCGTGGGTGGCCCCTGCCAGGTCCCTGTCCCCAAGGTGCTGGTGTGTCCCCCGTGCCCTGTCCCTGCGGTGCCACCGCCTTGTCACCATTGTCACCATGAGTGCTGTCCCCAAGGTGCTGTGAGCGCTGTCCCCAAACTCCCAGGTGTCCCCTGTGTCCCATCCCCGTGGTCCTTGTGCCCTGTCCCCAGTGTCCCACATCCCCTGTCCCCAGTGTCCCACATCCCCTGTCCCCAAGGTCCTGTGTGCCCTGTCCCCACGATGCCACCTGCTCTGTCCCCACGATGTCCCCGTGTCCCCTGTTCCTGCCATCCCAAATCCCAAAAATCCCGTCCCTGTCCCCACAGTCCTTCATGCCCTGTCCCCAAAATGCCACCTTCCCTGTCCCCAGGGTGCCACATCCCCACATTCCCGTGTCCCTGCTGTCCCCTGTCCCCACGGTGTCCCCGTGCCCCATTCCCACGTCCCGCACGTCCCATGTCCCCTGTGCCTGTGCTGACCTGTCCCCAAGGTGCCACCTTCCCTGTCCCTATTGTCCCACCTTCCCTGTCCCCAAAGTCCCTCCTGTCCCCATCCCGTCCCCACCGTGTCCATGTGTCCCTGTCCCCAAAATCCCATTGTGTCCTGTCTCTCTTGTCCCCATCCCCTGTCCCCAAAGTGCCACGGTCCCTGTCCCTCCTGTCCCCCATCCCCGTGTCCCCTGTCCCTATTGTCCCCACTCCCTGTCCCCACATCCCCCTGTGTCCTGTCCCCAGAAGTCCCTGTCCCTTTTGTCGCCCATTCCCTGTCCCCACCGTGTCCTTGTGTCCTGTCCCCAAAATCCCCCGTCCCCAAAATCACACGGGCCCTGTCCCTCCTGTGCTCCATTCCTTGTCCCCAGAGTGCCACATTCCCTGCCCCTATTGTCCCCAACCCTGTCCCCAGAATGTCACATTCCCTGTCCCTGTTGTCCCCCATCCCCTGTCCCCCACGGTGTCCCCACGGTGTCCCCACGGTGTCCCCACGGGATCCGGGAAGGGGCCGCGTCACCCCCTCCCGGGGACGTCCCGTTCTGTCGCCATCGCGCGGGTGGCGCAAGAGCGGCCACTCCGCGGCGGTGACACATCCGGCGGTGCCACCAGCCCCGCCCTGTCCCCCCGTGCCACCCCTGTGCCACCTCCGTGCCACCCCAGTGCCACCCCTGTGCCATCCCCGTGCCACCCCTGTCCCCTGTGCCACCCCTGTCCCCCCCGTGCCACCCAGGCTCGGGCACCGCGTGGCCTCAGCATCTTTATTCCCGGAGTGATGGCATTGTCCCCAGGGGGATGGCATTGTCCCCGGCAGGATGGCATTGTCCCCAGAGGGATGTCGCTGTCCCCAGGGGGATGGCATTGTCCCCGGCAGGATGGCATTGTCCCCAGGGTTAATGGCATTGTCCCCAGGGTTGATGGCATTGTCTCCAGGGGTGATGGCATTGTCCCCGGGTAGATGGCATTGTCCCCAGAGGGATGGCATTGTCCCCGGCAGGATGTCGCTGTCCTCAGCAGAATGTCGCTGTCCTCAGCAGAATGTCGCTGTCCCCAAGGGGATGTCGCTGTCCCCAGGGGTTTGTCACGGTCCTGCAGGGATGTCACCGTCCTGGGCAAGATGCCACCGAGGAGCAAGGACATGTCACCTTCGCTGGGTGAGGATGTCACCGTCCCTGCCGGGATGTCACCCTCCCCAGAGGGATGTCACCATCCCCGGGATGAGGATGCCACCCTCCCTGGGAAGATGTCACCATCGTGGTGAGGATGTCACCATCCCCAGGAGGATGCCACCGTCCTGGGAGGATGTCACCCTCCCCAGAGGGATGTCACCCTCCCCAGGGGACTGCCAGCACCCCTGGGATGAGGATGTCACCCTCCCCAGTGGGATGCCACCATCCTGGTGGGGATGTCACCCTCCCCAGAGCGATGTCACCCTCCCCAGCGGGATGCCACCCTCCCCGTGGCTCGGCCGGGGGGTCTCAGCACAGCTGGAAGTAGAAGTCGAGCAGGTTGGAGGTGACATCGCGGTGGCGACAGAGCGCCAGGGGCTGGTGGCCGCGCGGGGACGTGCACAGGAACCAGCCGGGGTGCGCGGCCGACTCGAAGCGCCACAGCCCGTCCCGGTAGGAGCGGAAGAAGGTGAAGGCGGCCGCGCTGTCCCCGGCGCGGGGCAGCTCCCGGATGTCCACGTCCTGCGGGCCACCCCCGTGTCACCCCCGTGTCACCCGCGGCCACCACCGTGCTGCGGAGCCCCGTCCTGGAATGTCCCCCGTGTCCCCACCCTGTGATGTCCCCATCCCTGAAGTCGCCGTGTCCCCATCCCCGCGGTCCCCGTGTCCCCAGGTGTCCCCATCCCCTTCCCTCCAGTGTCCCCAGGTGTCCCCATCCCCGCGGTGTCCCCATCCCCTTGGCGTGCCCTGTCCCCACGCTGTCCCTGCTGTGTCCCCGCGGTGTCCCTGTGATGTCCCCATCCCCTCGGCATGCCCGTCCCTGTCCCCTCGGTGTCCCCTCGGTGTCCCCTCGGTGTCCCCATCCCTCCGGTGTCCCCATTCCCACGGTGTTCCCATCCCCTCGCTCTCCCCGCGCTGTTCCCTCCTTGTCACCCCCCTGTCCCCTCTATCCCCACCGGTGTCCCCGCTGTCCCCTCTGTCCCTTGTGTCCCCTCTTTTCCCTGTCCCCCCGCTGTCTCCTCTCTACCCCCTTTTCCCCTGGGGTCCTCTCTGTCCCCTCTGTCCCTTGTCCCCCCTGTGTTCCCTGTCCCCTGTCCCGTGTCCCCTGTCCCGTGTCCCATGTCCCCCGTGTCCCGTGTCCCGTGTCCCCTGTGTCCCGTGTCCCGTGTCCCCTGTGTCCCCTGTCCCCTGTCCCCTGTCCCCTGTCCCCCGTGTCCCCACCTGCAGGCTGATCCGCGGTTCTCCGGCGGTGCCGCTCTGGGCTCGGAGGCAGCGGGAGCCGTGGCGAATGCCCAGGATCACGGGCAGCCGGGCGGGCTCGAAGGCGCGGTTGGGCACCCAGAACACCTTCTCTGCAGGTGGCACGGGGGGGGACCCTCAGCGCGCGTCCCACGCGTGTCCCCGTGTCCCCACGCGTGTCCCCACGCGTGTCCCCGTGTCACCTTCCAGCACGGCGTTGGCGCCCTGCAGGTGCCCGGCCACCAGCTGCCCATCGCGCAGGTACAGCGACCTCTGGTTCACGTCCCAGAGCCTGGCGAGGGGGGGACAGGGTGGGGACAGCGGTGCCACCCGCGGGGACAGCGCCCGCCAATGTCCCCATCGCTGAAGTCGCCGTGTCCCCATCCCGCAATGTCCCCATCCCCGCGGTCCCCGTGTCCCCATCCCGCAATGTCCCCATTCCCCCGGTCCTCGTGTCCCCATCCCGCAATGTCCCCATCCTTCAATGTCCCCATCCCGGCTGTCCCCGTGTCCCCACCCAGCCATGTCCCCATCCCTGAAGTCGCCGTGTCCCCTCCCCACGGTGTCCCCTCCCCACGGTGTCCCCATGCCCTTCTCTCCAGTGTCCCTGCAGTGTCCCCATCCCCTGGCGTGCCCCGTGCCAGAGCCCTGCGGGTGGCACAGGGGGAGGACAGCGGTGCCACCCTGTCCCCTGCCACCCGTCTGTCCCCCCGGGCTGTCCCCCCGGGCTGTCCCCCCGGGCTGTCCCTTACCGGTACTGGAACACTTTGGTTTGCAGCGCGGGCGCGTGGCAGAGGGCGAAGCCTTCGGCCTCTGCTCGGAGGAAGAGGAGGGCGAGGCTGAGGGTGGCCACCGTGGCTCCCAGGAGACCCCCGCGCCCCCTGCCCGCGCCCCCCGAGCCTTGGGGATCCCTCCCGAGACCCCCGGCGGGGGTCCCGGCGCTGTCACCGCCTGTGCCAAGCGCTCCGTGTGCCCTCCCGCCCGGCCGGGCCGTGCCCGCGGTGCCCGGGCAGCGCTCACCCATGGGACCCCCGGCTCCGGTGGGACCCCCGGTTCTGGTGAGACCCCCTGGTTCAGCTGGGACCCCCGGCTCCGGTAAAACCCCGGTTCTGGAGAGACCCCGGCTCCGGTGGGACCCCGGTTCTGGAGAGACCCCGGCTCCGGTGAGACCCCCGGTTCTGTTGAGACCCCCGGTCCTGGTGAGACCCCCGGCTGCGGGCGCTGCGGGCGGCGGCGAGGAGGGAGGAAGGAAGGAAGGAGGTTGGCGGTGGTGTTGCCACACTGCTGGGAAGGGCGAGCCCCGCCCCAGCCATTGCTCAGCGAGCCTGCGGGGTGACAACCGAGGGGACACATTGCGGGGGGAGGGGGCGACAGCGCGACACGCCGCGGGGACACCGCGACCCCCGCGACGGCTGCGGCGGGGCTCGAACCCCCGATCTCAGAGGCGAGGGAGCGGCGCTCTCCCTGTTGCGCCACCGCGGCGGCGGGCGCGCATGCGCGCTGCGGGAGCTGCGGGCAGCACGCAGGGGCGGCGTGGGGAGCGCTGAGTGGCCGCGGGTGTTGAGCATGCGCAGAGCGAGGCGCGAAGCCGCGGGGCGCGGGCAGGGCGCTGAGGGCAGCGCTGCGCGTGCGCGGAGGCTGCTGCGCATGCGCACTGACGTGAGTGGCAGGCTGGCGCATGCGCAGAGCGCTCCCCCAAAGAGCGGGAGGAACCATGGCGGCGCTGGGGGAGGCGTTGAGAGCAGCGGTAGCCGCGCTGTTGCTGCTGAGCTGGGGCGCCCATGGGCTCTACTTCCACATCGGCGAGACTGAGAAGCGCTGCTTCATCGAGGAGATCCCCGACGAGACCATGGTCATCGGTGCGGGCGGCGGGGGAGGCGGCAGGGACCACCGGGAATGGCGGGGGGAGTGAGGGGGTGACGGGAGAAACCACCGGGCATGGCGGAGGGGTAACGGGAGGGACTAATGGGAATTTGTGGGGGGGTAGCGGGAGAGACCAGCGAGCACCGGCGGGGGGTACACACACACACAGAATTTAGGATGGGGGGAATTACCGGGAGGGACCACCGGGCTCGGAGGAGCCTGAGGAGATCCCCGGGACCGAGCGGAGTTACCGGCAGGGACCCTCAGGGCCGCGGATGTGGGCGAGACCACCGCGCCCGCGGGGGAGATGGGAGCGACCATTGCGGACCCGTGGGGGGGGGGGAGTTAACGGGAGGGACCATTGGGGAGCGGAAGGAACCATTGAGGGGTTTGGGGGGAATAGGGGAGCCCCGGGACCCCCGGGCCCGGGCTGGGGGTCCGGCCCGAGCCCGTGTCCCTGCCCGGTGCCAGGAAATTACCGGACACAGCTGTGGGACAAACAGTCCGAGTCCTTCCTGCCCTCCACGCCGGGGCTGGGCATGCACGTGGAGGTCAAGGACCCCGACGGAAAGGTCTGGGAGGGGTCCCTGGGGGGGTTTGGGCATCCCCTGGGCATGGGGAGGGGTCCCTGGGGGAGTTCCGGCATCCCCCGGGCATGGGGAGGGGTCTCTGGGGGGGTTTGGGCATCCCTAGGGCATGGGGAGGGGTCTCTGGGGGGGTTTGGGTACCCCCTGGGCATGGGGAGGGGTCCCTGGGGGGGTTTGGGTACCCCCTGGGCATGGGGAGGGGTCCCTGGGGGGGATGTCTCTGGGTGTCCCTTGGGTGCCACTGCAGCCTCGCCAGGGGTCCCTGAGGTGCCACTCCCACCAGGATGGGGCTCCTGGGGTGTGACAATGGCCGTGCCCAGGGGGTGACAGTGGCCGTGCCCTGGTCCCTGGGATGGTGACAGTGGCCCTGTGGTGGCCCAGGGGAGTTACAGTGGCCATGTCCTGGTGCCCAGGGCAGTGACAGTGTCCCCATGGTGGCCCAGAGGGTGCCAGTAGCTGTGTCCTGGTACCTGGGGTATGATGATGGCCGTGCCCAGGTGTGACACAGGTGTGTCCCCGTGTGGCACAGGTGGCCATGCCCAGGTGTGATACAGGTGTGACACAGGTGTG